TTGTATGTGTTATTTTGTTCTCAAGCCAGTTGGGTCAAGTCCAACAGGAGAGACTGGACCTCCTCAGATTGAATGGAGGTAACTAGTGGGGTGCCACAGGGTTCATTCCTGGGCCCAGTGCTCTTCAATACCATTATCAATGATTTGGATGAGGAAGTACAAGGAAAGATATTCAGTTTTGCAAATGGTATAAAACTGGGTGGAATAGCAAACACCCTAGAAGACAGAATGAAGATCCAGGGTGATCTTGATAAACTTGAACACTGGGCTCAAAGCAACAGAATGAGATTCAATAAGGACAAGTGCCAGTTCCCCACCTAGGAAAAAGAAGCAAAATCTATCAATAGAAAATGGGGAATATGTGGCTCAACAGAACTGAAAAAGAAAAAGATCTTGGAGTAATTGTGGACAATAGGCTAAATATGAGCCAACAATGCAATGCAGCTGCCAAAAGGGCAAATACTATTTTGGGATGCATAACAGGGCTAGATGAGTCACAAGTTGGAATTAAGATTGCTGGAAGAAATATCAACAACCTCAGATATGCAGATAATACCACTCTCATGGCAGAAATTGTAGAGGAACTAAAGAGCCTCTTGATGTAGGTGAAAGAGAAGAGCACAAAAGTTGGGTCAAAACTCAACATTAAGAAAACTAAGATCATGGCATCTGGTCCTCTCACTTCCTGAAAAATAGATGGGGAAGAAATGGAGGTAGTGTCAGATTTTATTTTCATGGGCTCCAATATCACCACAGACAGTGACTGCAGCCAAGAAATTAAAAGACGCTTGCTCCCTGGGAGGAAAACTATGGGAAATCTAGACAGCATACTAAAAATCAACCAACAAAAGTGCATATAGTCAAGGCTGTGTTTTTCCCAGTTGCAATGTATGGCGGTAAAAGCTGGACCATAAGGAAGGCTGAGTGCCAAAGGATTGAGGCCTTTGAATTGTGGTGCTGGAGGAGACTCCTGTGAGTCCCTTGGACTGCAAGGAGATCAAACAAGTCAGTCTTAAAGGAGATCAACCCTGACTGCTCTTTAGAAGGCCAGATACTGAAGATGAAACTCAAATGCTTTGACCACCCAATGAGAAGGAAGGACTCACTGGAGAAGAACCCAATGCTGGGAACAATCGATGGCAAAAGAAGAAGGGGGCGGGTTCATGTTGCTGAAATCTTCATATTCTGAGGTGCTGCTTGGGGTTACTTTGCTGCATTGAATTGAAGAATTTAAGTCAGGTGGTACCTGCTGGCCATTGTTGTCCAAATAGTCTATAAAAGCTGAGACTGAAAAATTATCTGGTAATTTGAAACGTTTGCATAGTAATGACACTTCTCTGCATCTTGATTGAATTTCTGTTGGCCACTTATCATGTTCCAGGACCTGAAGCTCCTTTATGATGTTAGGGAAGGGTCCTTCAACTGTGGACTGTGTTGGATTCACTGTAGGTACATGTTGTCCCTGGGATATGAACATCCGGTTTGCGAACAAAGCCATGAATATCTCTACAGAACTATATGATGTGTTTGGCAACTCATCATCAGTGGTTGCATAGTTCCCTAGAGATATCCACAGCTTTTATGTAAGATCCACTAGAGATAATCACAGCTTTTCTCTAGAGATAGGCATGGCTATTTCTGGGAAACTATGCGACACATTTGGCACTGCATCATCAGTTGCTGCTTAGTTTTCAAGGATACTAACAGAAACCCATTTCCATAGACCAAATGTTTACACCTTCTCCAATGAGCTCTTCAGCCACCTCAGCAACACATTTGTCTCTTCTTCCACATAAGCCTTGTGTTCCATCAGGTACTGAAACTGGAAGCTCAACAAATGCTCAGCCAGCTCTGCCATTGTACATGGACCCATTGAGAGGAATTTGCCATAGATTAAATTGTTTTGAGTGCAATAAGCAGGCACTGGACCATTTTGTCCTAGCAGCACACTATCAGAGAACTTTGGAAGATAATGAGGGACTGGTAAGTCACTTTTAAAGATCCAACTTATGTTCTATGGGGCTCACATGAAAATGAAAGATGGACAGACAATGAAGCTCAAACATACACTAAACCAGGCATAAGAGGCAAGTTAAGACAATTTTTTCAATACTGCATACCTACACGCACACATACAGACTCTCTCTCGCTCTCTCTTAAATATTTGTGGTTACTTTATTGTTACCATATTATTATCATTATTACAAGGCTGCATTGTGTTTAAGATGTTTTAGTGAAGATGGAAGTGTTTCTTAAGTGTTTTACATGCATGGAATGGTAACATAAATACATATACTAAGACAAACTTTTGGCACACTCAGGTGATCTAATTTACATACAAATTTTACTTAAGGATGTTCTCAGGAATGGAACTTGTCCCACATCCTGGGGATTACTTGCAGGTGCCGTTCCCTGTTGTTTGCTATGCTGCTCATGAACCTCTTCTCCCTTCCATTCCACACCATGCAATAGGTTCACATTCCTGATATGCAAGACCAAACAAACATTTTTATTATATTAAAAAAATCCCTGCTTATCTGATTAAAAACAAATAATCTGAACCCATGCAATGTTGCACTTTAACCGCATTAGTAAATCTCAACACCATCATGACTGTAACAATAAAACAGAATCTGCTGCCCTGCTACTAAATGCATTAACTTGGAAATAAGCACCTTTTACTGCAGAGGAGGAGAATGTGGTTTAAAGGTAAGCTTAATTCAAAGAGCGTCAGTAATGTGTGTCCCTGGTTAGACCCTGCATATAAAATGTCTTGTCTATACCTCATGCCAGCAGACAGGAAAGGACCTCAGGGACCTTCTCAGTTGAAGCCACCAATCTTCTGGAGCTTCATACCCATGGATAAGGAGGCTGTGGCTGCATTCAGGCAAAAGAAAAGCAAGTCTGGAGCCGTCTGGCAGCTTTCCACAACCTGATGCTCTCCAGAAGTGATTAACTTCAACTGCTGTCAGCTGCAGCCAGCAGGAACAATAACCAGGAAAGCTGGGAGCTGTAATCCAAGTTGTCTGGAAGACTGCTGGGAAAGGCTGTTACAAAACAGCATCCTTTAGGAGGCTCTCCTAGATTGGATGTGTCAAAACTTCTGGAAAAGACGAAAATGGCTGCCAAAGGAAGTGTATTCAGGGAATACAGCAAGAGTAGGAGTTGTATGCTAGACCACAAACACCCTGCCCAAATATTACTGTCCTAAGACCAAGTTTAATTTGCCCCTCATTTCATTTATGGATCCTTCTGTGAGAGAAGGAAAATCACTGTTACTAAGCAGAAGAATGATGGATTACTAAACACCAGAGCAAAAGACCCTTATAAGACCAAAGGACAGAGTAAGGAACCGTATAAAGAGATTTGTAAATAAGAAGTAGAAGTAAGTAAACAGATTTTGAATTAGTAAGGTACGCAAACAAAGGTGAGTTATGTTGGGAAAATTTGGGTAAATCCTGTCTGAAAAGCATTACTCCTGTGTGCCTTTGCATTGTGGGATCAAATCCTGTCTTCCTTCTCAAAACCAAGCTGCCACTGTTTAAAATGGCATCCCTCCGCTG